CTCGCGGGCAGCCTTCGGGGAACTCTGGGTCGCCGCCTCCCGGGCAGTGTCGGGGAACTTCTGGGTTGCCGCCTCCCCGGCAGTGTCGGGGAACTTCTGGGTCGCCGCCTCCCGGGCAGTTTTCGGGGAGCTCTGGGTCGCCGTCTCCCGGTCAACGTCGGGGGACCGCTGGGTTGCGGCCTCTCGGGAAGCATCGGGGGACCGCTGGGTCGCTGCGTCCTGGGCAGGGACCTTCTCTGAGCCTGGAAGAACAGTGTGGAGACCTTACCTGTGTCCCCATACTCTTTCCACAAAAGGATTCATCCATATGGGCTGGGGGGTTGGGGTCCGGGATTTGAGGTCAATTTGGCCTTCTAGATCCCCTTGCAAGAAGAAATCTCTCTCCTGGACGGACTGAGAGGATGAAACCGCTGCTCGGTTTCATCCAGAAAGCATCAATCAGGATCCCTCCCAAGGAACCCTGGCCTGCCCGGGGTGCCCCTATTTATCTGGTTCCGTACTTTGTGCCCGGAGTTGGCGGTGATAGTCAGCCAAATTCATGATCATCTTGGATACATCTTTCTGGTAATAAGGCCGACCAAATATCAAGATCTCAGCCTCGCCCTCGGGGTCCCACCGATTAACGTGAAGCAGGGTCTGCGACACACACTCGACGTGTGGGATGTGCTCTCCTCCCCGGCCTGCGCAGGAGCAAAGAGGCTGTGAGGGGTGGGATTTGGGAGGAGAAGGCGGCGGGAGGAGGCAGCGCTGGATTGCGGCTAGGGCCACTGGAGAGGCTTGCCCTGGGGAGAGGAGAGGGAAAGACCGTATTGGGCACCCCTCTCGGACCCACTCACCGAAGATCGCTTCCACCAGCCACGCCTCGAGGTGAACTGCCTTCGGACTCTTCAGGTACTCGGAGTGGAACCAGTAGGGCTGCTTGGTGAGGTTACCGAGCACCGTGAACAGCGTCCCTTCTCGCTGCTCCAGCTGCACGAGCGTCGGAAACCGCCTGGGAGTGGCCATGCTGCAGCAGGACTTGCTGGTAGCGGCTGTGCGGCTGCCAACCCGAAGGCCGAGGTTGGGACCAGCTGCCGCAGTTGCGGCGGGGCCAGGGCCTCATTTCAAGGGCGTTTGGCAAGCCCCTCCCCATCCGCGCCCTTTTCATTGGATTCCAGCCCTCACCTCCCAAACTCCGCTGCTGGGGCTTCTTCCCGAGATCGCCCGAGTGCACTGAGTCGAGCACCTGGGCGCTCTAGGAGGGGCCATTGCTCGGGACCCGCCCTTTTCCCAGGCTCTGGGAGCCAGAGGCGGAGCGCCCGCGTGGGAGCTCTGGAAAGCTGGCCTCTGGGAGGTGCGGGCAGCCGCAGAGAGGTAGGGAACATCCAGCGTCAGGACAATACCTTTAAGAGAAGCGAACTAGTCTGTGCGGAGACACACGTGCTTTCCAGCGGTTCTAAGGGGACCAGCATTCCTGAGGGGTTGGAATGACTTTTTCGTGGAAAACCTAATGAAATATATGGAAAAAGTCAAAGCTTAAGGTATTCAAGGGCTAGCGGGGCACCTGAGTGGCTCAGTTGGTTAAGGTATTCAAGGGCTAAAGTAAGTCCCACTTCCTCCTGAACCCTGACCACTGAGTTACCTCCCCAGAGGCCATCACATTTCCAGCTTCTTCCTTAACCTGTCAGAGACAGCTGAGCACACCCAGCAGTATATGGTCTATATGGTTTGGGCGCCACAGGGGAATCCATTGAAACTTTTTTGAATCCATTGAAACTTTTTTTAATTCTCTAAGTAATACAATATTTCTGTGTCTTGGTTTTTTTTGTCCAGCTTAAAGCATTACCCATTGATTGCTACTCAGGAAGATAAAGCTGTATTGCTCTTGAATCAGTAGTTGGGGTGTCATGCTCAGACCCAGCAGTGAGAGATCCCCAGAACTCAGGCTCATCCTTGTATCCTCCATGGGAGTTCTGTAGGCCAAAGAAATGAGTGAGAAATTTGTAGGTGTGTGACAACATCAAAAGTCTTGAGAACTAAGCAGAATATGAATTGAGAGCAAAAAAAGGGCAAAATCCATTCAAAGGATCACAGGATGGAGTTATAAACTTCTGTGGGTAGGCAGAATGATTGAGTGTGTGTTATAACTGATACCCAGGGATCTGGGCTTCATAACTGTCCCCTCTGGAGGTTATGGACTCACTAACATAGCAACTGTAAATTGAATTTTAAGGTCCCATCAGTGTTGCCAACAAGAATCCAGTCCAGGAGGTATTTCCATGAAAATCTCTAGTCTGTAATCTCTTTGATGATATAGGATAATATATTGTTTCTTAGTTGGCATAAGAAAACACTTAGGGTTCTATGCATGTTATTGTCATTTATGTGTATGCGTGTGGAGTGCATGTGTAGAGATCTTTTACTAATTGAAGTTTTAGAGTTGGGTATAGAAATACTTGAGAATTAAAACCATAGTGTAAATAATTTTGTTTAAAAGGAATCTCTCATTTATGTAGAACTCATGGTTTTTACTATAGATATCTTTCCTACTTTGTTTCTGATTAGCTTGCAGGAAGCTGAGGATGAGGTAGCTGAATTCCAGGAAGGAAGGAGAAAATTAGAGGCAGAGTTGTGGGCACAATTAGTTCAGGCCGAACGAAGAAATAGAGACTTGCAAGCTGGTAAGGAGACCGAAACATAAAGTGGAAGCATGAAGACAATTGTGGCAGGAGATGCTGATGCCTAATGTGCTAGGTTTATTAAAATGAGAAATATATTTTTTCAGGTGGAACTTAAGAGCAGTAGTTCACAACAACAGAATAAGCTTCAAGTGAAATTTTGAAATAAAATGTGTTCTTTCATGGAACCAAGGGAAAGGTGGTTTAGAGTTTAGAAGTTCACTTAGAAACTTCATAGCTGTCAGTTTTCTAGCTATAATGTTCCTTTCATTTTCAAAGGCTGTCTGATTGTTTTGACAGATAGATTGCCTCTTCTACAGGACTTTAAAATTACATATATAACATACAGTTATTTCATTATTATTCATTGTCCCTTCAGTTTTGGAGTCTTGTTTGGGTTAAAAAATTAGCTTTAAAAAGGCGTTTTCAGGGCGCCTGGGTGGCTCAGTTGGTTAAGCGACTGCTTTCGGCTCAGGTCATGATCCTGGAGTCCCGGGATCGAGTCCCGCATCAGGCTCCCTGCTCAGCAGGGAGTCTACTTCTCCCTCTGACCCCCCCCCCCTCATGTGCTCTCTCTCTCATTCTCTCTCTCTCAAATAAATAAATAAAATCTTTAAAAAAAAATAAATAGAAAGGCGTTTTCAGTAGTAAAAAGATTAACCCTTTTCATTGCTCTTTACTACCTGCCTTAGACAAATGCTTGGGAGTGTTTCTGTGTCTGGAGAGTGAATGGGTTTGGGGAAGGTAGTGAGAGACTTCAGGTAAGGGGTAAGGAATTTGGACTCTTGGTGGTAGTTTACACTGGCCTTACCCTGGGCTGCATTCAGCCTGAGAACCCAGAGGTTCTCTCACCAAGTTCATGGTATTTGAGGCAATGGTTTCATTATTTTACTTCTCTTCAGAGAGAGACTTCCTTTCATTTTGATAGAGCAAATCTATTGTTTTCTGAGGAAGAATGAATATTTTGAGGCCTTGCATGTTGGAAAATATTTTTTCTTTTTTTTAAAGATTTTATTTATTTATTTGACAGAGAGAGACACAGAGAGAGAGGGAACACAAGCAGGGGGAGTGGGAGAGGGAGAAGCAGGCTTCCTGCAGAGCAGCGAGCCCAATGTGGGGCTCCATCCCAGGACCCTGGGATCATGACCTGAGCCAAAGGTAGACGCTTAACGACTGAGCCACCCAGGCACCCCTGGAAAATATTTTTATTCCATCCACACAGTAGATTGAACATTTGGTCTTAGAATTCTTTTTTTTTTTTTTAAGATTTTATTTATTTATTTGACAGAGAGAGACACAGCGAGAGAGGGAACACAAGCAGGGGGAGAGGGAGAGGGAGAAGCAGGCTTCCTGCTGAGCAGGGAGCCCATGCGGGGCTCGATCCCAGGACCCTGGGACCATGACCTGAGCCAAAGGCAGACACCCAACGACTGAGCCACCCAGGCGCCCCTGGTCTTAGAATTCTTGATTGAAATAATTTTTCCCTCAAAATTTCATGCTTCACTTAATTGTCTGCTAGCTTCCAGCGATGCTTTTGAGAAGTTTAGGCCATTCTGATCTTAATCTTTGGGAGATATTCTTCAATTATTTTATTAAACCTTTTTTTCCTTGTGTTTCCTCTTACCTCTTTCTAGAACACCTATTATTTAAAAGTTGGCCTTCTGGGGCGCCTGGGTGGCTCAGTTGGTTAAGCGACTGCCTTCGGCTCAGGTCATGATCCTGGAGTCCTGGGATCGAGTCCCGCATCGGGCTCCCTGCTCAGCAGGGGGTCTGCTTCTCCCTCTGACCCTCTTCCCTCTCGTGCTCTCTGTCTCTCATTCTCTCTCTCAAATAAATAAATAAAGTCTTTAAAAAAAAAAAAGTTGGCCTTCTGGACTGCTATTCTTTTTCTTTTCTTTTTCATCTGCCCTATGTTGTTTTTGTTTGTCTAGTAAAAAACTAATTGGAAGCTCTGAGCATGTATGTTTGTCTACATCCAACATTCATTGAGGGAGATATGAGTAGAACTTTTTCTTGAGAACCCTAGTGCAGTCTCATCCGCTTCCCCCCACCCCCCACAGGCCAACATCTTCATGATCATTAACATGGCAGGCCCTCACAGCCAGTTCCTGGCACAGAGTGGGACAAGGGAGGGAATGGCTCCCACAGGTAGTGAAGTGAAGGGAGAGAGGGGCAGCCTGGATACCTCCCACCCCAGTCCTTGAGCTTGCACCACAAAGGGCCAAATTGGCCCGGCTAGGTTTTTGTGATAGACCCCAGATTCTGGGCAACTGCCCTGGATCCTACCCTCTACCCCGCATTAGGTGATTACTGTACACGTGGGAGGGAAAGGGTGTGCCTTTCTCCTTTCCTTCTAGGTGCTACAGTAGGCCCTGAAGAAGAGGTGCTGCCAGAGCTCACTCTAACCCCAACCACATCCCCAAGTCTATATTGGCCCCGTAGTTGGAGTTGAGCAGATCACAGACCAGGAGCAGGATCCCAAAGTCTTAGGTGGCCCCTGAGGTGGGGACACGGCTGGACTCATTTGGACCTAGCTTGCCTCATCTTAATGCTTCTGCCGCCAAGAGTGTGGCCAGTGACTTTTCTTTCTGCCCCTCCATTTCTTTTCTTTTTTTTTTTTAAGTTTTGTTGTTGTTGTTGTTTTTGTTGTTTTTTAAAGATTTTATTTATTTATTTGTAAGAGAGAGAGAAAGAGCACAAGCAGGGAGAGCGGCAGGCAGAGGGAGAAGCAGGCTCCCCGCTGAGCAAGGAGCCTGATGCGGGACTCGATCCCAGGACCCTGGGATCATGACCTAAGCCAAAGGTAGACGCCCAACCAACTGAGCCAACCAGGCATCCCAGTCCACCCCTCCATTTCTTTTCTCCAGCCTTTAGGCTCTATTATTTTTATTCTAATAGATTAGTTTCCCTTATTGTTTGAGATTGGAAGAAAACACTTCTTCGTTAAGTTTGTACTGCACGGGCAGGATGCGGGTTTTTTCCCCACTCTTAACAGAGGGCCAGCCTAGAGGGGGTGGAGACATCACAAAATCCAGCAGGTTTCCCTAGGAAAGAAGGAATTCTGTCACTTCAGCTCCTGTCCTAGCCTTTCAGCCATTTGTAACATGTACAATTCAGTGGCATTAAATGTATTCACAATGTTCTGGAATTATCACCACTCAAAACTTTATCATCCCTGCCAGCCTGCCCTACAAATTTCAGACGGGCCAGCTACACAATCCCATAAGCCGGTTCCTTGAAATAAATCTCTTTGTGTGTGTGTGTCTGGTTCTGTTTCTTTGGTGAACCTTGATTGATAAACTCCTTGAGGACTTGATGACTTTCTTTTGTTCTCTAACTATATCCTCATGCTTACCCCATCCTAATACTTGTGACACCATATTACAATTGCTTCTTTTGTTTTTCTTCTCCTTTTGGGGACGGAGATTGTCTTTCAGGAGTGTACCCAGCATCTTTCAAAATGTCTGTCATACT